ACATTATTACAAGGTCAGGGGAGCTACTTCCTCAAGAAAGACCAGGTACATTTCCAGAATTCCAGGCACGTTTGCAAATTTCCAGGAACTGCAAGTCACTGTGTTCCCTCCTCCCTCAAGGGCACCGAAGGACTGTTCATTCTCCTGTGGGGCTGAGTCCATGGACATGTCAGAGTGTGTGAGCCAAGGTCCCAGAATCTGGTGACATTTGCTCTTGTCCTTCCTCCCCACGACGCTGCTCCTCTCCAGCCCCTATTCTCACTTTCCTGTTCACTTCCCGGACACCAGAGCCCTGCGCTGGGTGCTTCCAGAGGGGGGTCTGCACATGCTCAAAGGGAGAGGAAACGAGTCACCTGCTGTGCTTAGAAAGAACACAGTGGCAAGTGTTGGGGGCTTACCTAGCTCACTTCATGGCAGCTCTTTTACCCCATTGGTGCCCCATTGGGTGGCGAAAACCAAATGGGGAGGAAGATTCATGTAAATAACTCCTAAGACGCTCCTAAGTTTTCTCCAGCTCCACCATTGTGGGAACCCCGGATCCAGCTGCCTGCTCACTGGGGGTCACTTGTGCATCTGAAGTGGCCAAAACCAACTGCTCAGTTCTAACTATTCGCCGTCGCCCCACTTTGCTTCTCTTCTAGTTCTCCTTTGCGTAGGCCCAACATAAGAATTATGCTGGATTCCTGACCTGCCCTCACCTCTCCCTCCACAAGCAACCCTTAGTTCTGAACTACGTCCTGATTTGTGCACTGTCGCACATCTCTACCGCACTGTCACACTGTCTAAGCCTCGCCCCACTCCCCCAGATTACCTGGTAACCAACCATCTCAACAGACTGCCGGCTCCTGTTACTGCCCACCTGTGATACGTGCTCCTGCATCAGTGGACCACCTTTGGAAGCCGACCAGAGCCTTCGCCCTCCTGACTCCAGCCGTGCAGTCAATTCCCGTGCACCTAGATGGAAATCTAAGCCCCTGGCCTCTCCCTCTCCCACTGGCTACAGGAGCCCTGAGGGGTTCGGCCCCACACCCTGCGTCTCTCCTTCCTTTCCCACACTGGCCTTCTGTCTGTTCCTCAGACACATCAAGCCCCTTCCTGCCTTGCATCTTTACAGTGTTAGAAAGCTCTCTCTATCCTGACTTTCTCTAGAGTTTTTATTAAGGGATGTTGTATTCTGTCAAATGCTTTTTCTGCATCTATTGACATCATATGGTTTTTCTCTTTTCTTTTGTTGATGTGATGTGTCACATTGATTGAATGGGTCAAGAAGATGTGGTTTATCTATACCATGGAATACTACATGGCAATGAGAAAGAATGAAATCTGGCCTGTGTAGCAACATGGATGGACCTTGAGGGTGTTATGCTGAGCGAAATAAGTCAGGCAGAGAAGGAGATACCATATATTTGCACGTATAGGTGGATTAGGGGGAACTTAATGGAGGACAGTGGGGGAGAAGAAGGGGAAAAATAGTGGTGGGGAGGGAGGGAGGCAAACCATGAGAGACTCTTGAATGCTGAGAACAAACTGAGGACTGATGGATGTGGGGGGAGGGGGGAGATAGGCATGGAGGGAGGCACTTGTGGGGATGAACACCGGGTGTTATATGGAAACCAACTTGACAATAAACTATCTGTAAAAAAAACAAACCTTCATATTTCATCATAAAATAAGAAAATGAAAACCTGGAAAAAAAGAAAGAAAGAAAGCAAGCTCTCTCTCCTGATTGGCCGGTCAGCGGTTGGCTCCTTCTGGTGGTTCAGACCTCAGTTTAGATGTCACTTCCGCAGGGTGTCACCATGACCACCGGCTCGAATTCGGATGGCTCCTCCCTCCCTGCTACGCTGCTTTGTTGCAACGCTCTGATTGGCCCCATCTGTGTCCGGCCTTTAAAACATTTGTCTGTCAGTTTTGTTTCTGTCTTCTCCCTCAGCGCCCCTCTAACATCTCCGTCAGGTGCACAAGGCCTTGTCTGGTCCAGTGTTGAATCCCCAGGAGTTAGAGGAATCTTTGGCACATGGTGGGCACCCGGTAAACAGTGGTAAGTGAATGAATGATTAGGGAGAGCAGGCCACGCTCTCCCTTCACCATGTTTTTGCCTAATTCAGAAAACCAGCATGGACTTTGTTCTGGCAAGATCTTGTAGGGCGGGTGTTTCAACCTCAGCACAATGGACATTTTGGGCTGGATAATCCTTTGCGCCAGGGGCCGTCCTGTGCATTGTGGGATATCTAGCAGCATCTCTGATCATCCCCCGCTAGATGCCGGTACTGGACTCCCCCCACCTCAGGTGGTGACAACCCAAACCGTGTGCAGATATTGCCAGATGTCCCCCAGGGAGCCAACTCCCCCCCTCTCCCCTGTGAGAGCCATCCCCATCGTGCTGCCATCTGCAGCTCTGCCTGTTGAAAGATGCCCTTCTCAAAGTCGGGGCCCCAGACCAGCAGGTGACCCGCCTGGGAAGTCACTGTTTCAGGAAGGCCAGGCCTGACCTTAACCCCAGCTCCACCACTCACCAGCTGGTGGACCAGCTTAGCTTCCAGGCCATGAGCTTCCTCACTGTGGATGTGGTGTGCGTCCACGGGGCCCTCAGGAGACGCGTGGATGGGAGCGTGGAGTGGGCACAGCCCACACGGGTGGCTGGCGGCTCCTCCGGGGGAGACCTGTGCTGTCGTCAGGTTGCAGTTCCCTTTGCGGACCTGTTTCCTGGGCTGCAGACGTGCAGGCCGGGCGGAGAGAGAGGACCTGGCGGTCCCCTGCTGAGGTGTTGGTGCACGTCCCGCTGACACGCTGGCTCTGATCCCTCTGCCCCTTTGACTTGCTCCTTCTCTGGTTTCCACAAAGGCTGACTGTGCTCCGAACAGCTGCGGCCGCTCAGGGCCTCAGGGAGGCTGTGGGAAGGGTCGCGGTGCCCGTCAGCTGGCAGCTGTGGAAGTGGCCAAGCATCTCTCTCTCTCTCTTTCTCTCTCTCTCTCTCTCTCATCAGTGTTCCAGTCCCCGGCTGACAGCTCAGCTCTCTTCAGACAGCTACATCTGGGGTCCTCTGTGAGGCCTAAAATACTTACATCCAGCAAAGGCCCTTTGGGAAATGGCCAGCCCGATGGGGGCGCAGGTACACGGGCAGGAAAGTGGGAGAAAGAAAAGAAGCCTTGTTGAGTCTTTTCTTGGCAAAAAAAAAAAAAAAAAAAAAAAGTACAAGCATGGCCTACCTAATTAATTAACTGAATTCTAAAGAGATGAGCAAAATTACTGTTAATTAATTTTAAATTAATGTAAATGTATTATGCCTGAAGTATTTGTGTTTCCTGCATTCCGTGGGGCAGGTGATGGAGGTAGGCAGGCTGTGTCTGGGGGGCCGTGAGGGGCAGATGCGGCCTGGCCTGGGGCTTGGGTGGCATCCACATGTAGGGCCAGCTCTATGGGCAAGTATCCTTGCCAGGAGTGACGACTCAGGGATCCCGTCAGAACTGAAGGGGGCCTGGGGCGCCTGGGTGGCTTAGTCGGTTAAGTGTCTGACTTCAGCTCAGGTCATGATCTCATGGTTCGTGGGTTCGGGCCCCACATCGGGCTCTGTGCTGATGGCTAGCTCAGAGCTCAGAGCCTAGAGCCTGTCTTCAGATTCTGTGTCTCCCTCTCTCTCTGACCCTCCCCTGCTCATGCTGTCTCTATCTCTATCTCTCACTCTCAAAAAATAAATAAAACATTAAAAAAAAAAAAAGAACTGAAGGGGGCCTGGGGGGCTCAATCGGTTAAGCGTCCGACCTCGGCCCACGTCCTGATCTCTGAGTGTGAGTTCGAGGCTGGCATCAGGCTCTCTGCTGTCAGCGCAGAGCCTGCTTTGGATCTTCTATCCCCACCCCTCCCCCATGTCTCCCCCTCTTTCGCTTTCTGTCTCAAAAATAAAAATAAATAACCATTCAAAAGAGAAGAGCTGACCTACAAATAGGTTTAAAGTTTTAGGAACGAGGATGTGGCTTGTGAGGCTGGGCAGGGACCCAGTGTGGTTGGCGCTGGACAAAACTCCATTCCCCCAGATTGCTCACAGACTCTCTAGTCTCTGACCCCGTGCACCCCTGACGGTTTCACCTGCTCTCACTGCGGAACCATCTTCTCCTTGGGGGAAGAAAGTGGTGAGACCCGGCTTCACAGGCTCCCCCACCCCAGCCTGGCAACCCCAGGAGACAGTATTTGCTGCCATTGGCATTCGTACATCAACCCTGGCCCAGCCCTGGGTTGGCCTCGGGATTGCTTCTGAGGTCCTAAGGCTGTGACCTCCTCTGCAGCTGGGGAGCTGGGTTCATTATAGGAAAAAAAAGTGAGGGTAGAAATGTGTCTGCAGCTAAGTGTGGAGCTCCCACTGCCTGGTGTGACTGCGTGGTGGCACATTCCCCGGGGGAGAGATTCGGCCAAACATCCAACTCGGTTTTCTCTAAAGCTAAGAGAGAACACGAGTGCTGACTGATGCTGCAAGGAGATTTGTGTTGTGTTGACTCAGACTGAACAGTCTTGGAGACCCAGAGGCAAAAGGTGGGAACGTGACCCCTCTGATGGCTTCCAAGGTGCTTCCGGGAAGCAGTCCAAGTGTCCATGCCCTTGGCTCCCTCGGCTTCCTCTGTGAGCCTCTATTGCTGTTCCAAAGAGTGGCTTGAGGCAGAAGAGAATGGGTCCAGTGTCTGACCGGGCGATAGGTGCTCTCATATTGAATTTACTATTGTCATTAAAAGGTTTAAAAATGAATGTAATGCCCATTATGGTTCGAATTGTCCAGCCTATAGTTCATGTCCAAGTCTGAACAGAGGATGTGACCTGACTTGGAAGCAGAGTCAGTGCAGGTATAATTACTTAAGATGAGGTCATACTGGAGAAGGATGAGCCCTTAACCTGGTGTGACTGGTGTCCTGGTAAAAAGAGCACACACACACACACACACACACACACACACACACACACGACCATGTGAACACGGGAGCAGGGATTGGTTGATGTTGTCACAAGCCAACGAACAGCCGGGACCACCAGCACCTAGAAGAAACAAGGAAGGATTCTTCCCTAGAAGCTTCAGCGACAGTGAGAGCTGCCGACAGCTTGCTTTGCACTCCTGGCTTCCCCGTCCAGGCCTGGAGCCCCGTCCATAGACTTGCTGGAAGAAAAGAGGAAGTCTGGGTAGAGGTGGGAAAATATTCCTTTCTTCTCTTCCAGGTTCTGTGGATGGTCTGATAATTAAATGGATATAAGAGAGATTAATAGAAGAAGAATGAAGACAAGGTTAAGACATGCTTGCCTCCTTTATCCGTGGGAGAGCCCCAGGAGAGCTGAGTAACTCCCCAAAGCGGCCCAAACCATCATCTCCTTAAGTACCATCTTTAGCTAAAGGGGGTGGGGTGCAGTTGTGAGGGAGGTGGTGGCCAGGGAAAGCTCAGTAAACAAGGGTAAGGCTGTTGTGCAGACATAAGTCCTTGCCTTCCCCATTGATATGAGTTTCTAGAGGGGCACCTGGGTGGCTCAGTCGGATGAGCGTCCAACTTCGGCTCAGGTCATGATCCTGTGGTCGGTGAGCTCGAGCCCTATGCCAGGCTCTGTGTTGACAGCTCGGAGCCTGGAGCCTGCTTTGGATTCTGTGTGTGTGTGTGTGTGTCTCTCTCTCTGCTCCTCCCCTGCTCATGCTCTCTTTCTCTCTCAATCTCTCTCAAAAATAAATAAACATTAAAAAATATTTTTAAAAGTTTCCAGAGGGGCGCCTGGGTGGCTCAGTCGGTTAAGCGTCCGACTTTCGCTTAGGTCATGATCTCGCGGTTCGTGGGTTCGAGCCCCACGTCGGGCTCTGTGCAGACTGCCAGCTCAGAGCCTGGAGCCTGTTTCAGAATCTGTAACTCCCTCTCTCTCTGACCCTCCCCTGCTCACGCTGTCTCTCTCTCTCTCTCTCTCTCCTAGAAATAAATAAAACATTTTAAAAAATTAAAAAAAAAGTTTCTAGAGATTGAGGCACCCCCTCTTCCTGGGATTGCTGGGAGACACGGTGATGAGTGGAGAGTCCCCTTATAAATGTTAAGTGTCTCTTATAAAAGGGTGCTTCTCAGTTTTTCAGAGCTTCCCTTGTGTCTGCATTTTCTTAAAAATAACCAGCTTAAAATAATCCCCATGCCAAAGAGACACATTTTGGGGTGGCAAATTCTGTCCCCCTTGATCGGACTCCGGCGCACGGTGGGAGGCTACTGTGGTCATTCTGTGGGTGGGGAGGGCATGGATAAAGGTCCGAGTGAGGCAGTGGGGCCTCAGAGAGGTGGGGCGGTCAGAGGGCCCACGGCTCGGACTCGGCAGCTGATCGGGGCAGAGTAGATGGAAAAGACAGAGTGTAGCGTGGCTGGCTCGGGTGTGTGGCCAATGCTCTCCTGCTACTGAATCAGGGGGGCACACAGGAGGAGGTGCAGAGGCCTGGTGGGAAAGCCGGCAAGCTGCATAAAATTAATGCAGTTGATGGAAACACCCAGAATGGCTCTATGCTTTGAAATCTCTGAGAAGTATTTCTGTCTGTCTTTCTGCAGGTGCACGGAAGCTAGAAGCCATGGGGGCACGCTGATTCCTGCTCTGCTGACCCTCAGGGGGCCTGCGATGCCCTTCAGATCATCTGCAGACCTCACACAAGCAGGGAGCCTGGCACAACTCAAAATAGGCTGTAAAAAGCCAGCACCCAGGGATTATATGGAGGGAGAGCAGGTATCCAATGGGTCCCTGGGACGTCCATGCAGGGCAGGGGCGGGGGGCACAGGGCACAGAGCACAAGAGAAGGGGTGATAGGGGGGCTGATTTTCTCAGCTTCGTTCACCAGGAGCCAACCCCAAGCCCAACAACTCCATCCAGATGGACACTTAAAAGATTGGGAATTTACCTGATTCACCTGCCAAACACTGGCTTTGTGGCAATTGACGTGTTCCACATTAATTAGTCTTCCTAATAACAACGTGTCCTATAGTGCATCCAAGATATCATGTCTGGGGTAAAGAATGTTTCCTTGTTCTGGGTAAGAGGTAGTCTCAAACTCATCACTTAGTGAACGAAGAGGGGAGAGTCATGAACATGTCAACAAGGGCCCTAGAGCAGGAACCAGCAGCAAGAAAATGCAACTGTGCAATGAATTGTGAGTACATCCGGTTCCATCTGACTCACTTAAATGGCTTCCAGCCCACATTTTCCAAGTCTGTCACTTACTCGTAAGTGAATGGGTGGTTACAGTTGAATTGAATTTTCCCAAAGGATGTTGAAGTCCTAACCTCAGTTCCTGCAAATGTGACCTTATTTTGAAATAGGATTTTGCTGGTGATCAAATTAAGATGAGGTCATTGGTGGAGGAAGATGCTAATTCAATGCAGCTGGTGAGGGGAAATTTGGACACAGAGAGCAACAGGCAGAGAGGGAGACCACGAGGGGGTGAGGGTGGGAGGAGGGCAGAGGCACCTCCATCTACAAGCCAAGGGGGAGGGAGAGACTGGGTGCAGCTCCTCTCTTCGCGGCCCTGGGAAGGAAACGACCCTGCCCACATCTTGATTTCAGACTCATAGCCTCCAGGACAGTGGGGCAGCCAATGCCCATTGTTTACGACACCCCCCTTTTTAGGTGGTGCTTTGCTGCACACCCTGGATGATACACAAAGTCATCTCAAAACATGAATTCCTAGAATCCACCATTCCGATATCTGTGCTAGAAAACTTTAATGCATACGGGACCGGGCTGTCAATTTTACATGAGTGAAAGGAAGCAGAGGGGTTGTTCCTCTGTGGACAGGAGGGTGGGAGGTGCAAGGAAAGTTGCATCTGGGTCACGGTCCATTGTGATCCGGCCGTGCAAGCCAGCCACGCGTGTCCTGGGAGCGTCCTGCACAGTGAGCCTGGCACGAGCGATTTCTTAACTCTGAGCATGGGACTGGAGGGCTTGTCTGAAACACGGTTCCAAGGCTCCCCGACCTCCACCGTCAGACCCGGAAGGTAGGGTTGGAGATGGCGCTTGTAGGCAGAGACCCTCCAGGGAGCTGGCTACCCCGTTCTGCCGTAAATAAGGCACAATCTTGTTCCTATCAAAGAAACTGCACCTCAGAAGTAGCAAGCTCTGAGGAGGGCCACCATCTGCTGCGGGCTATTTCTGGAATCCTGTGCCTCGCTGTTAATTCGGTTAATCATTAATTTGGTGCTTTACAAAACTGGCATGTTTCCTTTTTTCTCCAATTATCAAAGTCTGCTATTCTCCATGCATTCCTAAATTCCAGAGATGATTAACGTTATTCATTGAACGTGAACTGAGGTGGCGGTGGAATCAATCAAACCTGCAGCAAGTTATGAACTTGGCTTCAGCGTCAAGTAGCAAGAGACACCACGATGACGCCTTGAGAACCATCCTGTGATGAAGGGATGAGGTTCTTGTGCCACATACTGGTTTTCTTGCTTTCTAGATGGAAGCCATGGTGAGAGAGCTGCACAGCTCTGGGCAGGGTGAGGCTGGATTTATGAAGGGATCCCCCCAAGTTAATGCACATGGTGAAACAAGTGGAGAGGCATTGTTAAAAATTTAATAATGACTACTTTGGATCAAAATGAAGAAAAAATCGGGTCCAGGTGACAAAGTCCAAAGCAGGAAATTGTGTACAAGATGCAACAGAGGGCAGCAGAAGAAGATAGGAGTTTGGAGTCACAGATTCAGGTGTGCCTCCCAATTCCAGCCAAAGTGCCAAGGAATCTGAGAATTACCTGGTTGCTTATAAAAATGAACGTAGTGAGGATTAAGCGAGGAAGTGTGGTATCATGGAGCATGATAGTAGCCTCAGAGGAGCCTGTATTGGATTTCAGTTTCTTTTATTATTAAAAAGAATGAACAATTCTCACAGGAGTAGCACCCATTTGAGGAAATATCTAAGGGCGGTCCTTCGTTAGGATGGTGTGTTGGCTGAACTTCCTGCAATGTGACAACAATTTGCTGACACCCAGGCCTTCACTAGCCCAGCTGTGGTGTGTGGACGCCAGCGTGACATGACCTGGGAGCTGACAGAGACGCAGAAGCTCTGGTCCTACTCCCAACGCACTGGACCAGAACCTGCGTTAGATTTCCATCCGGACTATACGCCCGTTAGTGATGGGATGGGCCACCCTTGCCTACTGGGGAGGGAAGAGGTTCAAGGATGTCTTGTTGGCTTACGGAAACATAGAAGTGTGGCTGAAAATGTATTAAATATATATGTATATAATAGATCATAATATAGTATAACATAGCATAACATAACACAACATAACAACACATCCTACCAATTTCTGATTTGGTGAAATGCTCAGATTTTAAAAAACAAATGCTCTCTCCCTCTCTGCTCCTTCCCTACTCATGCTCTGTCTCTCTCTCTTTCTCTTTCAAAAATAAATAAACATTTAAAAAAATAATAAGGGACACCTGAGTGGCTCAGTCATGAGATCAGCTCAGGTCATGATCTCACGACTCACGAGTTCAAACCCTGCCTTGCGCTCTGTGCTGACAGCTTGGAGCCTGGAGCCTGCTTGGGATTCTGTGTCTCTCTCTTTCTCTGCCCCTCCCCCTCTCAAAAATAAATAAACATTAAAAAAAAAAAAAGCAAATCTTGAATGGTGGCAGTGCAGTTTTTAGATCTTCTTAAATTCCACGTATAAACAGAGTATCTGGAGAGCAAAACCAGATGGATAGACAATACTTACAAGAAAGCTAATTGCAAGGTATTCCTATAAACTCTAAAATTCAGGTGAAGGGTATATATTACCAATAGCTACAAGCCCGAGGGATTATCAGCATCTGTGGGGGATGAAGCAGAGTGAGGGAACGGGGTACCCAATGGGGCTTACACAAGGAGAGCCCACAGAAAACCCAACAGGTATTCTCTGAAGAGCATGGCGGGCCAATTGAGAAGAGTGGATGGAATTAGATGATTTCCCTCTACTGTACTAGGGATACATGCTCGAGCCTTCGGTAGGCTGGGCTAGTCTTTGTGAACGCTTGGAACTGACCAGCTGGAGCTCCCTTCCAGGATAGGGTCTCCCGCGTAGGATAGAAACCACTGGAGAAGAACCAGGCTGAGCAGGTGAAGGACACAGGCAAGAAGGAGAAAGATCCTTTGGATAAAGTCAGGGGGAGAAAACAAAGCTAGAAAACCTCAAAAAGAAACTCCTGTCGATACTTTCAACACTCTATGATGACAATTCTAAACACTGAGGGTAAGTAAGTGTATACGGAGGCAAGCAGCAACAACACATGAAAACCAAATTTCGTACAAAGTTACTGTAAAGGAAAAAAAGCGGATGCGTAATCATAGAATATTCTGAGTCTGTCACCCCCTGGGTTTGTGAGAGCCCCATGGATTCTGGGGGTGGAAGGTGGGATGGGCAGATAAAACACAAAAGAGGTTAAGTAAAAACCCTTGAGTCCCAGATTGGAATTTAAAATATCAGCATGAACTCAAGAGCTGTTTTATGTGTGTGTGTGTGTGTGTGTGTGTGTGTGTGTGTGTGTGTGTATGCTTTCTTGTGCTCACACATGTTCCAGACTGTGCTGTCCACTCCGCAAGTCAAAATCTCTAAGTTCTTCAGTAGAGGGGTGCCTGGGTGGCTCAGTCGGTTAAGCATCCAACTCTAGATTTTGGCTTTGGCCATGATCTCACGGTTCGTGGTTGGAGCCCCATGTTGGGCTCTGTGCTGACAGTGCAGAGTCTGCTGGGGATTTTCTCTCTCTCCCTCTCTCTGCCCCTCCCCTGCTTGTGCTCTCTCTCTCTCTCAAAAATGAATAAATAAACTAGAAAAAATTAATTCTTCACTAGATATACTTTACGGAAGAGAGATAATGGCAGGGGTAACTATTCATTGAGAGATTTACCAAGTTTTAAAAAATGGCTAAAACCTAAATTGTGGTGTTTAAGGACACACATTGGACAGTAAACTAAAAAGAAACATAAGAAAGTTTTTGCTACAGAAGCTGAGATGATTGTCACCTTTGGTGGGAGGGAGGGTCTGGGCAGGGAGGGAACGCTGCCCGCGGGGGACTTAGGGGACGTCTGAGATCTAATTCCTGCCCTGGTGGTGGTTACAAGGTTCATCCCATAACTGGTCACTAAATGGCACGTCTGCTCAGCGTGGGTTTCTGCGTCTGCGTTATTCTATGCGAAAGGTAAAAAGGCGAACTCAAACAAATAAAAACAACAACAGCAAAAGTTCCCTGAATGGCTGGTCCTACCAATAGTCTCGTGGGGGTTGATTATCTCAGCGAAGCAGATGCACAGTGTGGGGTAGTTTCAAAACCAGCATTTCCACTGTCTCCGAGCCTTTGTTAGCTGGGTGACCTTGAGCCTCTCCAAACATCAGTTTTATCAAGGGTGAAGTGTGCACATTATTAATTCATAATTCACAGGGATACAGAGGCTCCAGTGAGAGCGTGGACGTGCAAGTTCTTTGTGAACTGCAAACACCCTACAAACCTTTGTTCTCATTACCGCTCTGAGGTCGAGGACAATGAGTCCCTGCAGCAATTATTTTTCTGTCTCCCCTCCCCCAGCCCTCTGACGAACACTTGTTATATGGGACAGGTATATCAGCCTTCTTGGAAAAGGCCAGCTGAACAGACATTTCATAATGAGACTCTGCCTTGTTGCAAACTTTAAGAGAGTAAGAGTTCATGAAAACTTACATTTCCTGGTCTGCCGCAACTCCGATCTATAAATCACAAAATATGTGTCAACTTTCATCATTGCTCCAGGCCCTGATCAGGTACTTGGAAAATTTTTTTTCTCTGTTCTTTGAGCTTATATTTTAGAAAGGGCAGAGAGGCAAAGAACCTTAGTAAGTAAGAAAGTATATAGAATACTTGAAGGTGGTGAGGATCAAGGAAGACAAGGAATCAAGGAGATGGTTTATGGTTTGGGATAAAGGAGATGAGGATTGCGAAGGTGGGGGCAGAGCCTGCAATTTTGTCTCGAGTGACCAGATCAGCCCGATTGAGAAGGTGGCATTTGAGTAAACACGTAAAGACGGTGAGGGACTGGGCCACGTGTCTGTTTTGGAGAGGAGCCTTCCAGGCAGAGGGAACAACCAGTGCAAAGGCCCTGTGGCAGCTTCGTGCTGGACTTGACGGGGGGACAACAGGACATTGTGGCCAGACTGAAGCGAGTGTGGGGGACACAGAAGGAGACGAGGCCAAGACGGGAGCCAGATCGCACGCGGCTGGTGAGGCTTTTGAAAAGATTTAAAGACTTAACTTTCTTCTAAATGTGCAGCCGTGCAGGTGAGGAGGGGAACATGATGGGATTTTGGTTAAGGACCCCCTGGAAGCCGTGAGGGGAGCACCGTGGGGCCAGGGGAGGAGGAGGGTGCAGTTATGAAGATCGAGGCGGGGTCGGGCAAGAGGCGAGGGCAGCTTACACTGGGATGGTCGCGGCTGAACCGGACGGGCGGGGGCTCCCTCTGAAACAAGTAGAGGCATCTGGGGGAGGCTGGGTGTTGCCTCCCCAGCAAGGATGTGCGGCCTTCGCTCCCGCAGGCTCTGTGCTCCTCGCCGGCCACTCCCGGGCAGGAACCGTGCATTTCATCTCCTGTGATGGGCGCTGGGCATTCTCCATCGGTCGGGCACTTGTGCGCGAGCCTGACTCCCTCTCACACCTCAGAGTCACCAAAGTTCCTCTTGTTGCAGCAGCTCTGCCCTTCCCATCAGGGTCTCACTTCTTTCTCTCTTTCTAGATTTTCCTCCTGTCGTCAGAAAGGTGCTGGGCCCCTTCAGAGGCCTTTGTCTGATGAGTTGGCCGATTCCAGACTCGAGTCACACCCACGTGTGCACCCGTGATAAATTCCTGTGTTATCTTGCCCTTCTAATCGTGGCAAGCCCCAGCAAGATCGTTTGCTAATTAGAGAAGATCTCAATTATAGCCACATACGTTATAATTATACTGTAATCCTTCCCCGGCCGTAAACTTTTGCAACGTGAAAGGCTAATGCTCGTGAATTTACTTCAGATTTTTTAATTAAGGTAAATCCTGGGCCGATATCTAAATATCTAAACTGGTCACCGCTGGACTGTGGGCTTCTACCGCAGCGCCTTCATTTGCACATCAGCCCTCACACCACTTTCTACGCATCCGCTAAGTCGCAAGAGAATCCGTCGTTACTTCTCTTTCTGGGATGTAAACACTTGGCACTCACCCTTCTCCCTTTTCCTTTCATTGCCTGACAGCTCAGTGATGTGATATTTCTAAAGTGATACATTTACTCAAGTTTGGATAAAGATAAAGTCTGATCTCCAAACTCATGACTCAAATAAATGGCTGGCAAAGGTGTGCCCCAAGTTGTCAGGATTCGGGTTTAGTTAAATGAAACCTTGGTCATTAAAAATTAATTTTACTTATTTTCTTTTAAAAAAAAGGCCTGAGATTGGGGTGCCTGGGTGGCTCAGTTGGATGAGTATCTGACTCCTCAAAAAAAGCTTTTATTTTTTAAATGTGTATTTATTTTTGAGAGACAGAGCATGAGGGGGGGGAGGAGCAGAGAGAGAGGGAGACACAGAATTCAAGCAGGCTGCAGGCTCTGAGCTGTCAACACAGAGCCTGACGCGGGGCTTGACCCCACGAACCGTGAGATCCTGACCTGCGCCGAAGTTGGACACTTAACCGACTGAGCCACCCGGGCGCCCCGAGCGTCTGACTCTTGATATCGGCTCAGGTCATGATCTCATGATTCATGAGATGGAGCCCCGTGGTGGTGTCTGTGATGCTAGTGGGGAGCCTGCTTGGGATTCTCTCTCTTTCCCTCTTGCTCTCTCTCATTACTCTGCCCCCTCCCTCTGAAAATAGATAAATGAACACTAAAAAAAAAAAAAAATACCCAAAAAGGTCTGAGATTTATATGGTACAGAATTCCAAAGATGAGAAAGGTACAGGGCAGAGAGTGTGACTCAGTCACCCGGCTTCCCACCTGCCTGCACCACAGTCCTGCACGACTCCCCGCGTGTGTAGACAAGCAGATGTGTACCGTGAAGGCCTTTGGTAGGTCTGCCCAAGTGGGAGAAGCAGTGTTGCTGGGCATCTATTTGATGTCAAATGAAGGCATAATTCAAGAAAAAAGCTCTAAAAAGACACAAGGCCAGTTCTATGAGTAGCAGGAGAAAATTGCATTGATGCTCATTTTATTTAGGACACTATTTTTAAAAACATTTCTTACTGAGGGGCACCTGGGTGGCTCAGTCGGTGAAGCATCTGACTTGGGCTCAGGTCATGATCTCGCGGTTTGTGAATTCGAGCCCCGCATTGGGCTCTGTGCTGTCAGTGTGGAGCCTGCTTCGGATCCTCTGTCTCCCTCTCTCTGCCCCTCCTCCCCACACTCTGTCTCTCAAAAATAAATAAACATCAAAAATATTTTTTCTTACTGATAAGTTGTTAAACGGTATAACAGGCTGAATGCAAACTGTAGCACCTTCGATATCTTTTCCTCCCCAAATGATTAGGGGAAAATAGCAATGCATCTGCACAAGTAAATGGAATTAAAAACAGGCATAATTTATCTAATTTTTTACGGAAAAATTTATATAATTTTGTATGTGTGGGTGCTCCACCCCTTTACTGTGTTTGAGCCCTGGAGCTGATCTTCTGAGGCTGCTTGTATTAACCCTGCTTTCTGGATGAGGAAGCCAACTGAGAAGCATGTGATGTCGTTTTGGAACCTGGGGTCTTTTATCTCCCCCCACAGTATGCAGTCTGTTTATTTATTTCTGAGATAGAGAGAGAGAGAGAGAGAGAGAGAGAGAGGGAGAGCATGAGCAGGGGAGGGGTCAGAGAGAGAGGGAGACACAGAATCTGAAACAGGCTCCAGGCTCTGAGCTGGATGTCAGCACAGAGCCCGACGCGGGGCTCGAACCCACGAACCGCGAGATCATGACCTGAGCCGAAGTCAGACGCTCAACCAACTGAGCCACCCAGGCGCCCCATTATGCTGTCTGTTTAGCAATGGTGGGGATTCCCTTGGCACAGAGAATTTTAGGACTGTACCCAGTGTTTGGGAGGTCACAGTGCACAGAGTTTGCTCTCCTTAGAGCAGGAAGGCTCATTTCAACTTAGACCGATGGCTGAGGAACGAATATTGATTTCAGGCACAGGCATTTTGCAAAGTGAGGAGAGGTGGTTTTGTTCTGGGTGGTCATGTCTATTCCACGGTTTCTCACTGTCCCTTCTTCTCACTTGTTTCTATATTAGCACATGTCACAATCTGTCCTGGATGTTTGGAAAGTCTAACTGAGTTCCCAGCTCTCCAGTGAGTGTATTCATCGGCTCTGAGGAGGGTGCTCATGGTGGTAATAAGATGGAAGAGAAGAGAATGTCCAGATGCCGTAATTCTAGAAAGGCAGAGAGGATATTTCCGGTCGATTGGCACTAGCGTTGCCGAGCCTAAGCTGCAGATAAGACAGATTAGCATCCTGCACACTTCAGTATGTTCCCCGTGTGCAATGCTTCTATGCCAGGTCAGCTATTAGAACCAGGGCATCAGCAGCGGTGCACTAACGGCACCACACCCTCCAGAGCGCACCTCCTGCCCCCAACAGTGTCCTTCGTGGGTCGGGATCCAGTCCAGGATCATCTGCTGCATTCGGGGACCACGCCTCCTTGGTTTCCTTCATTCTGTTCCTCCTCTTTCCCTGACTTTGACCTTCTTGAAGGGTCCAAACCTCTCACTTGTGCGTGTCTCCCAGTTTACGTTTGTCTCTCATTTCCTTGTGCTTGATTCGGGCTCGGGCTGTGCTGTTCAGGCAGGAACCTCCCTGAAGTGACGCTGTGTCTTCTCAACGCATCCCGTCAAGAGGCACAGTGGACAGCAGGTACCATACCTGATGTTGGCTCTCCCCAGACATGGTTTAAATATCTGTCAGGTTTCTCTGCAGAATGGTTAATTAACATGTAAAATGAATTTCTCGATTAATAAATAATTAATAAATATCCTGTGGGAAGATACTTCGAGACTATGTAAATATTTTATTCCTCATCAGGCTTTACTCCTCCAGATTTAGCATCTGTTGATAATTTTCACCGGAATCGATGATGATGATGATGATGATGATGATGATGATGATTTGGTTACCAAACAGCAATTTTCTAATTCTACGGATTTGGGGATTTGTTTGTTGGCATTCTGTTGTAAGAGACAGCCTCTCTTTTCCTTTTACTCATTAATTAATTACTAATTAATATATATAATAGATTTGTATTTTGGTCAAAAAGTAGTAATCTATTACTATCATTTTTAAAAATTTTGATGCTCAAATTGTCTGAGATTTGGCCAATGGAAGCCCCGTCGAAGTGACTCATATGGTTTTTTGACATCCCCCCCCCCTTGAGCATGTCTATGTTTTTTGGCACAATGACTTATCTTGTGTTTCTTCTGCCACAGTCCTGGAGTCAAGTTCTAGTGCGTGCTCAGTTAATTACGGGAAGAGGCATGTTGAAGTCTCCCTCTGTGCTGGTGAGTATTTTTGTTTCGTCAGTAGTTCTTCCATTTTTGTTCTATGTGTAAGCTCTGTTAGTAGGTAAACTTAAAACTTAAGTTTTAGTTACTGGTAACTACTTAAATTTCCTAGTTAGTTGCTATGTATGTATGTATGTAGGCTCCACACCCAGTGTACAGCTCAACATGGGGCTTGAACTCACAGCCCTGAGATCAAGACCTGAGCCGAGATCAAGAGTCAGATAACTCACTGAGCCACTCAGGCTCTCCTTTATGTTATTTTTTGTTTAGTATTTTCCTAATATGTACTGTTCAATCCTTTACTTTCAATCTCTTTGTAGCAAGATGATTTAGTGTGTGTCTTAAAAAATTTCTTTAATGTTTATTGACTTTTGAGAAAGATAGACGAAGTTCGAGCAGGGGAGGGTCAGAGAGAGAGGGAGACACAGAATCAGAAGCAGACTCCAGGCTCTGAGCTCTCAGCACAGAGCCCGACGTGGTGCTTGAACTCCTGAACCGTGAGATCGTGACCTGAGCAGAAGTCGGAGGCTCAAAGGACTGAGCCAACCAGGCACCTAAAGTGTGTGTCTTGTAAAAAGAGGTGGCTGAATTCGTAGATCCAGTCTGACATAAATATACAATTTGATATATTTTTTAAACCTGACATATCCAGTCCCTTTTAAAAATTTTAGTAATTCATATATTTGGATGTATTTCTAACATCTTCATTTGTGCTTTGTATTTATTCTCATTGAATTTATCATTGAGTAGCTGTTCTATTTCATCCTTCTCCCTGTGCTAGTTTGTCATGTGTCTTCCTTCTGTTCCCTTTGTGTTTACTCTATAAATTAGTTTTTATATGAATATCTACTCTCTTAACAATCTTGGCCACTATAAGGCCACCAGAACACTTTAGCTCCAATTACTCCCCTCCTCAGTGACATATTATGTACGTTAGCTCTATCTTTTTAAAAATGCTTAATTCCCTAAGAAATTCTTCTTCTTCTTTATGTAGTCAATTTTATTTAGATTCATCCCTATCTGTCTGTGTCTTTGCCCATCACTCTTTCTCATTTCACACCATCAGTGTGCAATTACTTTCTTTCTGCCTGAAGTACATCCGTTCTATTTTTTTTCTAGTGAAGTTATGTTGGTGGTAAACTTTCTCAGCTTTTCATGATCTGAAAATGACCTTATTTTGTCCTTATTGTTGAAAGCCATTTTTCCCTTCCCACAGGATATAAAATTTTATTTGACTGTTATTTTCTCACAGTTTATTGAAGATATCATTCTACTCTCTTCCAGCTTTTTTTTTTTATTACTGTCGAGAAATCAGCTGTCTCCCCATTTTGTCATCCCTTTGAAGGTAATCGGTTTTTATTTTCTTTGTCTGTGGTGTACTGAACATTGCACTATTTGTTAGGTGTGGCTATCTCTTTATCCATCCTAGCTTGGAATTTATTCAGCTATTATCTTTTCAAATATTGTAACTATCTCTTCCCCCCCCCCCCCCCCCCATGGAACTGTGGTTACCTGCATGCTCAATCTTTATTACTGCATCCTCCAAGTTTCCTGACTTTTCTGATTCTTAGTATCTCTACACTGAAGATTTCTTCCTGCCCATCTTTTAGATCACTAATTCTCTCTTCACCTGTGTCTAATTGAGTTTCTCACTTAAATTATTGTACTTTTATTTATGTAGCCTCAAGTTTGTTTTCTAAATCTCCTTGTTCATATTTATAGTCTCTTATACCTAATTCAGATCTTTATATTTCTTTTATTATCTTAATTTATTAAACTACCAATTCCATCCACTCTGTCAGATAATGCAAGGGCTGAAGTATTTGCAGGTCTGACTCGAAGGATTCTGCTTTCTCAGGGTCATGTTGCCTTGTTTCCTTCTGTGTTTTGTGACTTTTGGAAGTGAGCTGCGTTTGTGTTTAGGAGTTCTTCAAGATGTGGCTGATGATGGGTGCACCAGAACGAACTTACATTTGCTTCTGCAGATGTTTAAGGGGATCATTGACCTCAAGTCACCCTAACCTTGATTCCTAGGTTCAGACCTTACACACCATCTGGGGATGTGACTTCAGACTTTAAGCCATGTGAGGACTGATTTGTTGCCACAGATTTTCAGGGTACAGTTTTATTCCTTTTCACCCAGCACCAGTTTTGGAGACAATTTCCTGTCAGTGCTCTTTGGTGGAGGTAGCTTTACTGCTCATTTCCCCATGTACTACTGGGCTCTACTTTATGCATTGAGTGGAGATTCCTGTTTTATCCTTCACTTTGAGGGTTCCTGAGCTTTTTCTCTTGCTCACCACATCTTCTGAACCCATGGAAACCAAGGCTCTAGTTTACCTTGCTTTAACCAATGCCCTCAAAGTGAATGTCAGCATTCACTTTCTGCTGTATTAGTTTTTTAGGGCTGCTGTAAGAAACTACCACAAAGAGAGTGGTTTAAAACGGTGAGAATTTATTCTCTCATGCTTCTGAACGCTAGAGCTCTGAAATTGAGGTGTAGGCAGGGCCATGCTCCCTCTGAGAAGCCTAGGAGAGAATCCTTCCTTGCCTCCCCCAGTTTCTGGAAGTTGCTGACAATCCCTGGTATTCCCTGGCTGTGGTACCAGAACTCCAGTCTCTACTTGCCTCTTCACATGGCCATCTTCTTTCTGTGTCTCTCTGTTCCCAAGTGTCCCTTTTCTTATAAGGAGGCCCATCACTGGGTTAGGGTCCACTCTAATCCAGTATGACTTCATCTTCATTTAATTACGTCTGCAAAAACATGTGCATAAGTTTGCATCCACAGGTTCTGGGTGTGCCTGAAATTCGGGAGGACGCTGTTCAACCCAGTACATATGTCTGATATTTTTGCCAACCTATCAGTGCATTTTAAAAGATTTTTAAATTATTTTATTTAGGTCTTTTTTCTCCTTCCTTATGATTGGATTGATGATTAGCCAATTCACCAGTTTCCTGCTAATGTGGGTCAAGTCAGGTGATAAACTCCTACAGTAGTTTAAGATTCCTTCTAAAAAAAAAAAAAAAGCATTTTTTGGGAAATTGCTTTGGCCACCATGACAGGGACAGCTTCCTAATTAGTGAGTCTATTAGAAGGTGCTGTCCTGGCCCTTCTATAGATACCACGTTTTCTGCCACCACGCACACTCTGTGAGTATCGCTTTACGTAAGTGTTGTTGGTGACACTCATGTATAAGCTCTCTTGGGACATTCAGTGTGAAAAACAGAAATAGCAAGAGGGAATGAAGAAAGAGTGAAAAAAGGATGAGAGAGAAAGTATGAAGCAGAATGGCAAAGGAACAAGATAATCATAGCTGCACAGCTAACAATTACTAGGGATTTCACATATGCCAGGTTCTGTTCTAGTAAACGGAGACAGAACAAAAAACAAGTGTCTGTTCATTTATTCATCCCTGGAATAAACTTAAAATATGGTATAATTAATTCAGGTTTTTTTAAATTTTTACGTTTATTTTTGAGAGAGAGACAGAGACAGAGCGTGAGTGGGGAAAGAGCAGAAGATGGAGGAAAACACAGAATCTGAAATAGGCTTCAGGCTTGGAGTGGTCAGCCCAGAGCCCAATGCGGGGATCGAACTCACGAACCGTGAGATCATGACCTGAGCTGAAGTCAGTCGCTTAACCTGCTGAGCCACCCAAGTGCCCCTAATTCAGATTTTCTTATGCAGTCCTTTACATGGTGAAGAATCCCATTTAGTGCTATTTCTGCAGAAGCAAAGGTATTAGCTTTCTGGGGCAAATAGAGGTATTAGCTTTCTGGGGCAAATAGAACAAAACATGGCAGAACAGTTCCGGTTAGGCCTAGATCTACTGTGACTGAGAGCTTTGGGTGACAATAGGCCTTTCCTGTACTTGAGTCCAACATGAGACATTTGCCCAAAATGAGCTGTTGTAATCTCTGGAAAGCCTAGAACCAAATAGCAAATGGTGTAGTTCTGTTGTGTAGGAAGGGTCATTTGTGTTATCTTCTACATGAAAAACATATAATATTCCTCTTCAAAGGTGAGGCCTTGTTAAGAAAACTATTTAAAAAAATGGAAAAGAGAATGAGAGCTATACAACACTGGGAAACATTTTCTCAACACAAAAGACAGTAAAAAAGCATTTCATAGCCTATTTTAAGCATGACTTTGTTACTATACAGAAACGTCTCTAGTCTTAGTAAGTGACTAATGTAATCTAGTTATGACTAATGGACAAACTGTCAGATGCAAGATAATTTCAATGACCTAGCGTGCTACATTATATCCAGTGTGAAACAAATATCTAATTTAGCATAAAAAGAGGTATAAAACTTTCAGTTATCAAAAGTCACCTCTTGATTGTTCCACAAGGAAGAGCTCCTATTTTTTTTTTATATTACTCCTCTGTCAGTCAGACCTGTCCGCTCTGGAGCTTTGTGCTCTCCTGGTTAAGGAATTGTAATAATATTAGATGGATCTGAGGTTGTTGTTGATCCTGGCATCATTGATCTTTATGTGAGTGTCTTTTATCAGAGGAATATGGAGATCACAGACAATGATCAGGGAAACTGGATCATTCCAAGCTTTGTGGACTTTACAAACACAGAAAATTGATTGAATGATTAGTAGTGGTGCAATGAATCAAACTACAGTGAAACCCACCAAAACTGTTTCATCACTAAGGATTTGTTTGGATATTTTTGGGTTTACATCAAGATGGTGATGGCTGTAGTGGTGGTGATGATGGTGGTGGTGATGGTTATGGCGATGGTGGTGGTGGTGATAGTGGTAATGATGGTGGTGACGGTGATGCTAATGATGGTGATGATGGTGGTGGAGATGGGCAGTGGTTTAATATGAATGACACGAGAAGGCAGTAGTCCCTTGTGGGGTACAAGAAAAGAGCAAAGACTTCCATCCTGAGAAGTTCTCTTCTATATTTCTGGAAAAGATGAAGGAAATTGCAGGAGGATTGTTATTGTCCTTTTATTTCAGTTTTAGCTTACTTCAATAGCTCTTTGCTGAAACCAGGCATAACCTCTGCTCATGGCTTTGACAAGAAGATTGGTGATAAAAGAGGTATATTGATCTTGGATCTTGAAAGAGCATTTTGATGTGTCCATCTTCCCTTCAGATGAGAGAATATTTTATATCAAATTTTCATCTGGAGAAATCCACTTGAGTGAAGAAGATTTCACCAATTGTAACCATCTCATTGCCAACCTCAAGTGTTAGAAAAGACAGACCTCCACATTCTCACTGAAGACACTTGATTTCCTTCTGAAGAGTCAGATTCTACATATACCCACCCTCAACTTGAAAAATTGAGTGCTTTTTTTGTCCACTGACCTCTGTTGACTAGGTCCATCAAAATGTCAAGTTCAGTACACCTCAGATCTGTGACATTGTTCTGGAGGCACTCTGTTTCTATATCCAAGAATAAGGAATCTATGCAGGACTTCTCAAAGGCAAGATGAAGCCATCACCTAGGTAAAGTTGTCTAGATCACCATTTTTTTCTGGAACAGATCTGAAGATATTTAGCATGTCGTTTTGCCTGGCTTCTGAACCTTCGGAATGGAAGTCTGATGAAATCATAACTGTCTTGATCTTATGTGCCATCAAGCAGTGCTGATTTTCACTGCTGGTCAGACAACAAGCTGTGTGCACTCAAGTTTATGAAAGAAAGTGAGCAATGATCACTGACAACCTGCTTAATAGTTCATGGTATTTTTATAACTGATGGACACCATGAATTATAAAATGAAGCCGACACCAAGCCAATTGTTTGCAGAGACAAGCACAGACAAAGAAAACAAGCTCATGAGCACTAAAGATGAAAGATGTCTGAGAAAGTAAAATATTGAGTTCATGGTACATGAGGCTAAGTGGCACAGACTGAAGATGAGAAACACAGAGACAAGTATCTTCTAACAATTCATTCAAATCCTGTGCTTCCAATGAGAAGCTATGGTGGAAGATGAAAGTCTTTAATACAAGTGCAATGAAATCATTATCTGGCAGGGCAAGAGCCAGTCTACCGAGGACAGGAGTTTCCAAAAGGAAAATTCTGGAGAGCATCTTGTCAACCCAAAATCATAAGTCTGTCCAGATGGGATCCCAAGGGGGACATCCTGGGATTTCTTTGGGGCCAAGCTTCTGTGATGGTCCTGGATCCATTATCAAGACCAGTAAATGCATAGTCTATTCAGCTCGTCAAGTATGAAGAGTGTAATTTATTGCCAATTATACAGTGGCAGTGTTTTAGTTGTTGTATAGATTCCAAGGCTTCTGATGCTTGGATGTCCATTCAAGAAAGAAATGAAGGACCAGGAGCCCAGCAAACTAGAGTCAGGATTTAGATTTTCCATACAGCCCCATTATGGTATTGAGCTTTTAAATAATGTTCCACTTAATGGAGGACCATAGGGGACAAGAAAGGGAAAAATAGTTGAGGAGAGGGGGGAGGCAAACCATGAGGGACTCTTGAGTGCTGAGAACAGACTGAGGGCTGATGGGGGTGGGGGAGAGGGGAAGGAGGGGATGGGCACGGAGAGGGGCACTTGCTGGGATGAGCACTGGGTGTTATATGGAAACCAACTTGACAATAAACTATTTTTTAAAGCCTAAAAAAATTCTAATGTGCACTATAAAAATAAATAAATAAGTAAATAAACAAATAAATAAATAAATAAAAGAAATGAAAACTTTTCCACTATCAGGTTTGTAAAAAAGTGGAAAATGCAATTCATGTTCTCAAGAATAAATATCTATTTAAAATCAATACCTTAGAAAAAGAAGAAAATCACTCCTCCATCTCCTGAATACATATTAAAAAAATTTAGAGTCTATCAAATTTAAGATGCTCCAAGTTATTAACCTAAGGTGGACTTGCAGCTTTAGGAGTTAAGGCAAAAGTGTGGTTACATAATTCTCATCACTAGATACCATTTTATCAGAAGACTGACTTTTTTGGTGGATTTTAAATTCAGAGAAAAATTTATCTTGTGGATCCTCCTGAAAGGAACATTAAGCAAGTTAATGACTAATGTCTTTGCAAAGTTTCACATAAATTTTTGAAATGTTTTTCATGGAGATGGTTCTTAAAGGAACCCCTGAGAAAATCTGAGGAAATTTAGACCCAAAGAAGATCAGATTCCTTTAATTCAAGTCAACAAATATTCCTTGAGAAGCTGCTAGGTGCTGGGCACTGTGCCAGGTACCAAAATACAGCACTGAGTAATATCTATGCTTGATTTATATAAAAATTTCAAATTTGTATTATGATGTTTCAGAATTTATATAAAAGGAGTAAAACAAATCAGGGGCAACAAAACCTATTCACCGAGAGAAAATAAGTTAGACCAGAGTAAAAAATTCTATAGAATGTTAATTTCCCTATTCTTCTTAAGTTAAACTTTTGTTGAATTTACCTTTCTTCTTTATTTTTATAAAATTAAAGTGTTTTTTTTATTTTGAGGAAATTCATGATGATTTCCATTGTGACTCTGTATTATTTTAAACACATTTTTGTCAAAATAATAAATGTAGGGGTGCCTAGGTGGCTCAGTTGGTTAAGCATCTGACTCTTGATTTTGGTTCAGGTCATGATCTTATGGTTTATGAGATCAGGCCCTGTGCTGACAGTGTGGGGCCTGCTTGGGATTCTTTCCCTTCCTCTCTCTCCCTGCCCTTCACCTGCTCATGTGCGTATGTGCGTACATGCATGCAGTCTCTTCTCTCTCTCTTTAAGTAAATAAATTAACTTAAAAAATAATTTGTATACATTAATGTGTACATAGTTTAAAAGCACTAAGAGGCTTATGATAAAAACAAAGTCCACTGTCCGTCTCTTCCTTTTCCCCAAGTACACTTCTGAGAGGTGATCAATTTCAGCAATTTTAAGTGTCTTATTTTTTTTCTGATCTTCCATATTTCTAAATAATAGGGATATTCTGCTCTTGATTTTGATTAGTATGTAATGACTTTCCTCTCTGAAAAAGGAGGACCCCCATAGCTTTCTTACACCAGCCTCCTCTGCGCTTCCCTCACCACAGCCTTTCAACATGTAATGTTATAATTTCTCAGACTGGCATTCTGCATTTGTATTATCTTGACTATATTTTGGTATTCATGTACACGATTCACAGCTGAAACATATATATATCCTACGACATCATTTCTTTCCTTATACAACTTTTTTTCCCCCTGGAGTTAATAACTGCCTTGATTTTTCTAGTGTCTTTGTGCCTGTCAGTATTTTGTCTTCCAACTCTGTCAGGACTCTGTGTGGAGAAACATACTGATAACCTCTCAGGTTCACATTTTTCTTGGTGAGTTCTCTCCACTCATGCTTTCCATCTGCATTTTCCACTGCACCATTGGCATCCCAGGCCTCTTTTTACCATCATCTTGGGAATACTTTCTCCTGTCTCCTATGATGGACTCCTACTTTCTAGAACCCTTCTCTTCTTTTGCGGTTTACTTCTTTGTTTTGTGAAACACGTCCGACTTTGGCTCAGGTCATGATCTTGCAGTTTGTGGGTTCGAGCCCCGCGTCGGGCTCTGTGCTGACAGCTCAGAACCTGGAGCTTGTTTCAGATTCTGTGTCTCCCTCTCTCTCTGACCCTCTCCTGCTCATGCTGTCTTTCATTCTCTCTCTCTCAGAAATAAATTAAAAAACAATAAAAATAATGAAAAAAAAAAGAGTCTTCAGGAGGGAAATGTTTGGAGAACTTGCATGTCTGAAAATGTCTTTATCCCCCAAACACGTCTGGCTTGGTATAAGTACCCCTTAGAGGTTTGAAGTCATCGCTCCTCTTTCTTTTCAATTCTAGAGCTGCTCTTTTGAGACTGAACAGTGTTCCAGTTCCTGACTCCTTGTTCATGGCCTGCAGTTCTTCTCTGGACGTTTTAGGATCTTCTCTGCATTCCAAGACTCTAAATTTCCTAGTGGTGGGCTGTGGCATGGATCTATTTTCATTCATTTGTGTTGAGAACTTGCAAAGAAAAGCCTCCAATCTGGAAACTCAGATCTGTTAGTCCTTGGAAAACGTGTATCAGTGTTTTAAAAATAATAATTTCCTCTCTTTCATTTTCTGTCTTTTTTACCCCATGCAACACTGATTGTACTTCCTAGGCTGTTGTACCTCTTAGACTGAATCTCTAATTTTCTTGTTTATTTTCTGTTTCCTCTGTCTTTGTTGCTATCTACTCTCCAGGAGATTGTTTGAACTTTATTGCAACTGATGAATTGACCGTCTGGTGAAAAAGGAAAAGAAGCTATGGTGGCTTTCAACATCGAGAAGAATGGGGCTGCCTTCTCCTGGTGTGGAGGCAGCTGTAAGAGGAGGAGACAGAAGGGCGAGTCCTCACTTCAGTTTAGGACATGTCATGTTGGAAGTGCCAGCAGACATGTTGGTAGACATGTGGAGAGGATGGTTGGGTAGCCGAGTCTAAGGTGCCAGGGAAACTTAAGATAACTGTAAAGATGGATGCATTTAGAAAAATGAGATTGTAGAACACATTGTTTTATAACCTCCTTTTTTTCTTTTAGCTTAACAATATATTGTGAACATTCTCTTCCCAATATCAATTCTTTGGATTCAGTTGAGAATTTTTTATTGCCACCTGGGAAATCTTGTATGCTGGTGTGCTGATGGTTACCCTTTTCCCCACCTTTAACCAAGGACTGTTTAATGCCATCTCTCTGGGCTTGGGAGCTTGGGTGATACTAAGATAGGACTAAAAAAAGAAAGAGCACAGTGTGCTGCAGTCTAGACAGGCTTTACTTACCAGACCAAGGAGCACATGACAGGAATTTGGTAAGTGCTCCAGCAGATGGTGATCACCTCAGAGTGTCCGTGGGGGCTCCAATGCACCTGCTATTGATAGAACAGATTAGCTGGCCTCTGGGGAGCATTGTAAGGCACCTAACTGCCAAGGAAAGCCCTTGTGTGTTTTGTGTTTGTGTGTGTGTCACACTTGTGTCAGAAGGTGTCTCCACTCCCAGGCCCACCCCCACATCTCAGATTGTATCACTTTTGATTTTGGCCAAGAGAACTCCTTGCTAGAGCCCAATGGAAGTTTGAGGACAGCCTGACCCTTCAACTTTCACCCACACTTAAGGATGCTTTCCTGGGTTCCTGGTGGTTTGGCCCAACCTGTCTTTTCCCTCTTTTTTATCTCTCCTTTCAACTCCCACCACTCTTGTTTAGGCTCCAGAAAACCATCATGGGCTAAGGAGAGAGGATTCTAGTCCACAGAAGAGAGTAAAAGGGAAAAATATAGATTCATGGTTCTGTGGGAACACATTGCACTTGAGTTTCTGTCTCTGGAACAAGGCAGGGGTCTGCTTGCCAAGCAAATGAAGAGCCTGATAGACTGGAGAGTAGAGGAACTGGGCCTTCCAAATTGAGCTGTGATCAGGGCAGAGCTAGGCTGGAGTGAGGGAGAGAGGGCAGGGCGGCTGTGCCAAATCTACCAACTCGGTCCCCATGTGTGGTGACCTCTTTGAGATGGCTCAGCTGAGACTGAGCAGATTGGAAAAAATGGAAAGTTGTTTTCAGAAAATGAGCCAGTGAAGAACAGATGCCCGTGTTTTGCTGTTGCCATCACTATGTCTTCTCTGCATAACATATTCCCGAAAGATGTTTAAAATGCTTTAGGAATCATGTTTCATCAACATCTCTTGATGGTAGGTGGGTGGTAAGGAGGCGGTGAGGCAGTGTGTTCTGTGAAGATGCTTTATTTCAAGTAGAGAGTAAAATCGGGACCACAGGGGGAGGGGACTTTGTAGACCAGAAGCTGTTCAAGTGGGCTCGCCATGAAGGAAACCACCAAATGAGGTGGTTCATTCATTCATGATTCATTCATTCATTTGGCAAGCATCCACTGGGGTGTCCCCCACGCTGGCTCCTATGTCAGGGGCTGTGAGAACAACAGTGAAGAAGGTGGTCATCTGAGATTAAAAGAAGACATTCTGAAGGAAAATAAACAGGTTATATTCATAATGTTGATACAGAAAAAAATTCAAGGCAAAAATATGAACATAAATAAACGGTAACCATGAAGCATGAAAGGTACACATCCGAAAACTGGTATTTGATTACTAAACGGGAAAGCAGATTTTTTTTCAAAATTAAATTTAGCTTTTGGAATAGATAATAAGCTTAGGTGGTTTAAATACCAAGCAATACAAAATATTATGATCTGAAAAGCTTTGTCCCCCAGCCCCTGGACACACCACCCATTTCTCCCTCATTTGTGGGTAATTTGATTAATTTCTTCCTTACCTTTCCAGTGTTTCCTTAAGAAAAGTTAAGCGTATGTGCATATATATTATTATTTTATCTCTTTCTTACATACATGATGTCAGGCTTCATGCAACAGGCATATTAGTTTTCTATGCTGTGTAACAAATTACTGCAAACTTAGTGACTTAACATAATGAATAGTTATTATCTCAGCGTCTGTGGGCCAGGAACAAGGGTGTTGCCTAGCCAGGTTCTCCACACAGGGTCTCACAAGGTGGCCATCAACATGTTGGCCAGGGACGCCTGGGTGTCTCAGTAAGTTGCGCGTCTGACCTCAGTTCAGGTCATAATCTCACAGTTCGTGAGTTCAGGCCCTGTGCCAGGCTCTGTGCTGACAGCTTAGAACCTGAAGCCTGCTTCAGATTCTGTATCTCCCTGTGTCTCTGCCCCTCCACTGCTCACACTCTGTCTCTCTCAAAAATAAAATAAACATTAAAATCCTTTTTAAAAAGACATGCTGGCCGGACTGTATCCTCTTCACAGGCTCAACTATAGAAAGATCTGCTTCCAACCTCCCTCAAGCTATAGGCTGACTTCATCTTCTCACAGCTATGAAGTCATGGCAGTTTGCTTCTTCAAAGCAAAGGAAGAATCTCTATTCTCAAAAAGGGACTCTTATAAGGGCTTTCACTTGATTAGATTAGGATCTCCCTGGATGAGCTCCCCTTCAATTAACTCAGAATCAACCGATATGAGATCTTTCAGTTGCAAAACTCCCTCACTTCTTGCCATCTTCTATTGGCTAAGAAGAAAGTCAAAGTGTGTGCACCTGAGGGAACTAGATTACATAAGAGTGTAGCTCATGGGAAATCACTTGAGGGCTTATCTGCTATACTAGAAATTGGCAAGCTATGGTCCCTGGGGCAAATCCAGGCACTACCTGTACTTTTGTGAATAAAGTTTTATTGGAACACAGTCATACACATTAGTTTACATGCTATCCATGATTGCTTTCGTGCTAACATGGCAGAGTTGGGTGGTTGTGATCAAGAGTCCCTGTGGTCTGCAAGTCTAAAATAATTCCTGGCTGGCCCATTACAGAAAAACATCGGCACTCTTCTGCACCATGCTTTTCCCCTTACCATGAAAAAGTTGGTGTTTTTTTCTGAGTTAGTACATACAGATCTTCATCTTTTTTACAGCTTTGTAGTCATAGTATTCCATTTGTATGGACATGCCATATTTTATGCAACCTGTGCATGGTTGCTACACACTGTGGCTTCCAATCTTTTGTTAGACATGATCTTGGAAGTTGGAAACTTAAAAATTCTGACCTAATGAAGTCAAATACATTGTTTTCTCTATTTAAAATTATTTTAAAATTTATTTTTGTTTTTCTTTTTAAAATTTTTTAAAATTTTTTTATTTTTTGGAGAGAGAGAGAGAGAGTGCTTGAGTGTAGGAGGGGCAGAGAGGGAGGGGAGAGAGAGAATTTTAAGTAGGCTCCACACCCAGTGTGGAATCTGACTCAGGGCTCAATCTGATGAACTCTGGGATCATGACCTGAGCCAAAATCAAGAGTCAGACGCTTAACTGGCTGAGCCACCCAGACATCCCTGTTTCTCTTTTTATGATGCTTTAACTAAAGCTCTTTTTGGTATTAAAATATTTATTTTTTTCTGATTAAAAATGTAACGTACAATCATGCAAAGTTCAAAACTCTCGAATAAAAACAGTGGGACATTTATGGGAAGATAGTGGTGCAGAAACGTACCCCTGATACCATTTTCTTAATCTCTGGATTCAACTCTCAGCTGTCTTTCCCGAGCCCAGCTGGGCAGGGCCCACAAGGTGTAAGGCAGGCTAAAGGCTGTGGAAGGCTGGAGGCTGGACCTCTCTGGGCAGAGCCCTGGGTTGAGGCTCAGCTCTACAGTGCCAGCTCATAGAGATCTCTACACCCATTTGGAAGGGGGGAGCCAGTCAGTAAGCCCCACCCTCGATGACCCACTGGCTGCCCTGGCTCAGGGAAGCTGATCAGATGAGCCCAGGGGTCCATCTCTGAGATCGAGAGAGCAATGGCCTTGCAGCTGGGGAAGTCGGGAGCTTGGGGGGCTACTGCCCAGCTTCAGGCAGGGACCTGAGCAGACACCGTAGAGTCTGCTGAGCCCCCACCACTCAGGGGCTACCACTACCAAGGTGCCCCAGCAGCAAGGCATGGCTTCAAGGATGAGGAGAGCTTCAAGTAGGCAACGAAGAAAAATAAGGAATTCAGGGACCCCAGCAGGTGGGGAGAGGAAGACTAAGCCATTACCTAGCCAGAAAAAGTCCTGCTAGAGAAGACAGATAGCAGCTGGACTAAAAACAGTAAGAACACTTATTCCATTGTAGCATGGACTAGAGCTGAAGAATTACTTTGAATTAAAAAAAAGAATTAAGTATCTATCTTCAAAGGATGATGTCCTCCATTTAGATCCAAATTAGTGGCCTGGAAGGTGAAGTGGAAGACATATCTCAAAACCTAGAGAAACATTCAGAGATAAAAATCACAAGGGGAAATAAAAGAACCCTACATGCTTGACCCTTGACAGCTAATATACAGATGATAGAGTGACATTGGAGGAGAGGCATTATCTGTGCAGATGCCGGAGAAAACTCCCTACGTGGTAGAGCGCTTGAGTCTGTAGATGGGAAGGGTCAGCTGAGCTGCAGGGAGGACTCATGAAAAGCCACACTCACAGACCCGGATTGGCAATATCCCTGCCTTCCAGGGGTGAGCAGAAAATCCCAGAAGCTTCCCATAGGAAAGAATTGTAATTTACAGATTTGAAAGAACATAAGACGGCTGTCAGATTTTTCACTCGAACCACGGGCAGACATGGGACAAGGAGCGCCTGGGTGGCTCAGTCGGTTAAGCGTCTGACTTCGGCTCAGGTCATGATCTTGTGGTTTGTGCGTTTGAGCCCCGCGTCAGGCTCTGTGTTGACAGCTAGCTCAGAGCCTGGAGCCTGCTTCAGATTCTGTGTCTCCTTCTCTCTCTAACCCTCCCCTACTCATGCTGTCTCTCTCTTTCTCAGAAATAAATAAAACATGTAAAAAATAAAGAAGAAGAAGGTAGCAGGACAATATCTATGAAGTATTGATAAGAAGTGTGTGCCAAGCGAGCCTGTTGGGTTAGCAGAGCCGTTTGTCAGTCTGAAAACACCAGTTAGGATTGTACGAGGCTGGGAGAGGGAGGAAGCCGATGGGGGTTTAACCCCAGGGCTGATGTGCGTCTCCATGACAGACTTTGGAACCAATCATATATTTGGTGTGTACTTATACTCAAACATTATTATTCTTTGTTTATCTAAAATTCCAATTTACCAGCATATCTTGTATTTCTTCTAGTTAACAATGAATTGTTTTTCTAAATCTGGCCACTCTGTTCATTGATATCGTAAGGGACTCATTCAACGTTGCCTTAGAAATGACTGTGGTACCCTGAAGGGTAGCATGCATGGCTAGGAAGAGAGAGGAAGGGATGGATTACGAGCAGATTTCTGCATATATCTAAGTGGCCGATATGCCCCATGGCCACACCTAGCTGCAAAAGAAGTTGGAACATCAGCTGTAGCATTTATGGCATCTATAGAAAAGACAGGTGAGGGAGAAGAGGCTGGAGATGGGGTCCAGACAGCTGACACATTGACACTGCTTTCCAAGGCCACTATATATGGAATGCAGGTTGCAGTAATCTGCAAGGGGCATAATTTTTATTGTAGTGTCTGTGGAAACCCTCCCAGGATGGGGGAGGTTGTTGGATTAGGTCACTATTTCTGAGCAGCAAACTATTTCATTTAGTCACCCAGAGCGACACCATTGATGGTTGCTTACAAGTCTGTGGGACAGCTGGGTGGTTGTGGGCCTGCCTGGGCTCCCTCAGGCTTCTGTGAGTCACTGCAGGTCAGCCGAGGGGTTCTGCATCTGGAGGCTGAGCAGCTATCAGCTGGGGTGCTTTGGTCATCCTCCAGACCGCTTGGGGTCACTTGCTTAGCAGCCCCAGGGCTGCACCGACGACTGGAAAAAGGCATGCCACTCCACACCCACAACTGGCTCCATACTGCTCACTTCTGCTGCTTCCTGTTGGCCAGAGTAGAACACAAAGCTGGCCCAGGCTCAAGACGTGGCAAATTAGACTCCAGATTCAGAAGAGAACCATTGCACAGAGAATTTCAACAGCGAGGGAAAGCATCTTTTCTTGCTTCTCATTCATCAACGATCTACTGACCCATGAGTCACCATGAGTCAGTTACTGCTCTGGGATGAGTGAGTAACACAAGGCTGGATGGAGGGACAATGAAAATAAAGATGGTGCTCTAGATTCTCTGAGCGGGCTCATGCCCCTCCCAATCTATATAAAATTGACCCCTGCTTTTGTTCATTAAAGCTTTTTGATTGAAAATATAACACACACACAGAAAAGTGAGCATATATCATGGGAATGCAGCCTGATAAATTTCCAACGTGATCACACCAGTGCAATTGGCACACAGACGGTTGGAGCTACGCCACCACCCTGGGACCCCAGGACCCCTTTCCAGGCGTCTACCTCCCAGCAGCCCTTGCTATTCTCACTCTGCCACCAAAGACTGGCTTTCCCTGTGTTTTGGATTTTTTTTTAATGTTTATTTATTTATTTTGTGAGAGAGAGTGTGAGCATGTGCAAGCAGGGGAGGAGAAGAAAGAGGGAGAGAGAGAATCCTAAGCAGGCTCCACGCTGTCAGGGCTCAGTCTCGCAGACCACGAGATCATGACCTCAGCCAAAATCAAGAGTCAGATGCCCAACTGACAGAGCCACCCAGGTGCTCCTGTTTTTTGGATTTTATGCAAATGGCTGTATCTGATTTATTTCATTTCCTATTATCTGATTATCTGTGAGATTCATACAGTTAGTTGCCTATCACTCTAGTTCATTTGTATTGATTATCATACTAGAAGGTCATCCTGTGAATGTGCCACAATTCATTCCCTCAACTAGTGACAAATACTGGGATTGCTTCAGGTGTGGATTTATCACGAATAATATTGCTATGTATATATTTGTACATACCTTTTTTGTGAATATTTATACAAAATCAGTTGGCTATGTATCTATAAGAAGAATGGCTGTGTCATAAGGTATGCATATATTCGCTTACAGTAGTTACCTCTAAAGAAATTTCAGGAGACTGCACCTCCTACCCGCAGCAATGTATGAGAGTTCCAGAGGCTTCACCTTCTTGTCCAAAATTGTTATTGCCCATCTTTAATTTTTGATAGTGCTCTCTCTTAATTCACATTTTCCTC